CTTTGCTATTCATCTGGAGGAAGTGCAGAAGAACAGAAGTGCATCATCACAGGCTGTTAGCTGTTAACAAAGATTTTCAAGTATGTGAGCTGCTGAAGCCCTTCCTTTCTATTTACATAAGTATTTCTTTATCATGCGATAAGGATTCTTCAGGCATCAGACCACTATTTCTTGCCGTTGAAGTCATTGTATGTATCATATGGACTAGTGGATGATGTAACAGTCTTGGGCTGTTACAAAGTTTGTATTTTGTCCAAAACTGGGAAAACAGTTCTGTGTCTCTTCCCATACAGATAGAGGCAACAAGGAAGACAGAGTTCAGCAGCATCTGTTCATGTGTTAGGAGTCCCTTGCCACCTTCTGTCTTCCTTAGATTTCTCTAAATACTTGCAGTTAGTACATGTTTCATTGCCATGAACCACTGTATCTTTCTAGTGTGCTAGTGTATGTGACTGATTAACGACAGCTAATTAAAGGTCATGCTTCATACAGGGAAAGCGTTGCTGATACATACAGGAAGTTGATACTTAAAAACACAGGCCAAAGGTCTACCTAAGCAGGTTTCCTTTCCCTTGACTGAACAGTAGCAGATGCTCAGAGAAAATAAAACCAAGGCAGACAGGGAGCCATGCTGCAGGGTATCCTTGCAGGCCTAAGGATTTGTGGTTAACAGCCCTTGACACATTTTTCTTTCAGAAAAGTGACTAACTCGTTTTGGACTCACACTGACTTCTGAGATCCATAGCTTTTTTGTCCTGATGTGTTGTGAGGAAGAGCACTTCTTTTGCAGGTGGTGGCTAGGGTGTCTCCTCTGTGAAAGCTGTTGTATGGCTTTGCCCATCTTTACTTTCTTCTTCCGTGACTTTCCACATTCTCATGTGTTCCTTTTGGCACAGTGAAAGAACTGCAACAACATTAGAGTGCACTATGAATTTATAAAAAAACAAAACGTTTTCTTTCTTTTGCCTGGGGTTTTGTTTGTTTGCTTTTTTGCTGTGGAGTAGAGAGATGATATGTTCATAGAATGGTGTGTGAAATCCAACTTTTCCTTCTTGCATAGGAGTAATTTCAGTTATACAACATTGTATATGTTGCTGAGGTATAGAAATAGCTGTCCTGAGGATTACTTTGCATTTATTAAATCTCAGTTTCATCTGTTGTCTTATGCCCATTTGCTCAATGGTAAGAAATCTTTGGCTTGTGTCTTTATTACTCAGTATAATTTCCTCATAGCAGCAACTGTTGCCAGCTTTTTGTTCACCCTTTGTAAATCATTCAGAGCTAATCAGTTCTGTTACGTGGTGTTGTGAGGACTTTGTTCCATAGCAATCAAGTTTTTAAAAGGCTCTGGTGCAGGTGGTTGGGTTTTTTTTAATTTTTTTTTATTTTGGAACCTTCTAAAAGTCAAGAAGTCTGTGTTGTCCACGTGTGTAGTGAATATATTCTCAGTGTCTTTCTGAGAATAATAATGCATCCAAGACACATCTTTTCTGCAAAAGCCCAAATGACCATTTGTCATTTTAACAGGCTGGTTAATGCAGCTGCTAAATCTCTTCATATAATCTGCACCTCTTGGCTTAATTTAGATGTTAATTTCATGGCTCTGAAGCTCTTCGTATTCATAATGAGTATTTTGGTTTACTTTTTCTCTCTTTCTCTCATTCTCTGTTTTCAACACCCGTGTGCCTTCCCTTCCCAAACATTGCATGTGTCACTTTGCTCAAGCAGTTGCCCAGGTACCAGAGGAATGTATGGTTGTGCATCACAGATACTATTTCAGCAATTTCTTGTGGGAGTTTCAGGTGATTATCACGTAGTCCAGGTGACTCATGACTACCCAGTAAATGGTGGTCCTTGTAATTACTGTTTAATCCAGCCTTTGGAGAGGACAGAGAAAGGGGAAGAAAAAGGGTGGTCTGGGGTTTTTGGTAGGTGTTACACATTTTCTCTGAGTTTCATATGTTGTATCTTTCGTCTCATGTTATCTCTTAGCGTTATACCATCTGGCATGTTCCTTTTAAAAATATTCCCCTTGTGTTTGTAAATGCCCTTTTCAAAATAAAATACCACAGTGTGGATTCCTGGTCTTTCAGGAAAGATTAGTCTAAATACATATGGCCACTGGCACAGGGTGGCTCTTCAAGTGGTCAAGTTTTGAACCAAATTCTTCTGATGCCTCAGGATCAAGGCAGGAGTTGCATGATAAATTGTCCCACTTGTAGTCTTTTTCTTCCTTCTGTTGTCTGTTTTAAAACTACCAGGCTGCTTGAGCTGAGAGGTGAGGTGCGCGGTTCTTCAAGAGCATCCCAAATGCATTATTTTGGGATCTAGGATTTATTGTGGCTACGCAAGAGTGCTAAACCTTGCAGGCACTTACATTGCCTTCTCATTCCTCATTCTCCTAGGGTGTTCAGCCAAGCAGATGTCAGCTGCGTGTCCTGCAGGTCAGTGGGATGCTCTGCTCTGGCTCACCAACAGCTGCTGGATCTCATTAAATGGGTGCTAGACTGTCTCCAAAGCCTGTGCTTGGTTTACAGTATGCTACAGTAATGCAGCCCTGTTTCTCCCCTGTCCAATTTGCTCATTTCCCACACCCTTGAAAGTGGCTTCTCCATCTACCTTTGTTAGGTCAATTTTGAATCCCTCTTTCTAACCCCTCCTCACATACTCAGTTTTCTACATCCAGCTTCTTAATTGAGTGAAGTTCTTTTTGCTTAATTTCTGCTTACACATCTGTTCTCCACTGTGCATGCAGTGACAGCCAGGGGTATGCGAGAACACTGTGGTCTGATAAAAGTGTTTTTTTGTTGGAGGGTAGTTTCTTCTAATGGAAAGTTTCTTCCCCTGCTCCCAAATGTGTTACTAAGCGTGAGGAGCTGGGAGAAGTCCAAGAGGTAGTTCTGAAGGTACTGAAATAGGAGGTAAGCAAAAGAAACACACAAAAAAGTTTGTGGAGAGAGAAACAGAGATAATTTTTGTAGGCATTGATCAATTTTTGTGTTCTGATTTGTTTTTACTGCTTTCCCTGGAAAGAGGATTAGAATGAAAACTATCTAGAGGCTTAAGTTTTTGTTGGATCACTTGAAATCCAGCTATCTTCTTGTGGCTATTCTGATGATAACAGTTGAGTAGGGAGATGAGCGATAATGTCAGATCTAGTCTCCAGTGGTTACACTCATAAAAGCATCATATGCTGATGTATTGTAGGTTTTATTTTCCCCTAAGTTACTTCATGAAAAGCATCTTTGGAAATAGGTGACTGATTTGTCTCCTCAGTGCAGCAGCTATTCATGTATTCTTACATATGGAGTGGCTTTATGGTGTTCTGGTACTAAAAGCTAGCCTGTCATATGTTCACCTTCTGCTATAAGCCCTTAGGCAACATGGATTATGATTTGCTGTCATAGAGGGGACTGTTTATGCCAGTAAATTTGAGTAAAGTTTTGTGATAAAAAGTAACATCACAGCTATAACTTCCATTCCTCTGTGTGGGCCAGTCACACTTATATCCCATTATGTAAATGGTAAGTTTTCTTGAAGTCATTTTCTCTTGTATCTTGACATCAAGTAGAAAGCTTTGGTAGGTATAAAAATTTTAGTCACGATAGGTAGAATAATTTTAGAGGGGGGTTATTAACTGGGTGTCAGTGCTGTCTGTGATTTTGCTTGCAGTTTAATTAACACTGTCGTCTTAAAGTGGTTATATTTTAAAATGATCTTTTAATACATATTAGAGCCTCATTCACAGTTTATCTATTAAGCCCTTAATGCGTTCTTGTAGAAGAACTGAAAGGAGCTTGAGCTTTGCTCTTGTGAAGGCCATGATGCCTTTGGTTTCTAAAGATGGAGTGTGGGGGTGGCAATTTGCACATGCAGCATGAAAGCATTTAGTTCTTCCCTTGCAGAATCTCCTGCAAGAGAGAGCGCCTGTGCACACAGCACATGCAAAAATATTCAAGCTGGAGGGCTGTTGATGAAGACTCTCCTCTAACATTAAAGACTTGGTTATTTGAATGCTGCTCAGAAAGGAGCCTAGTAACACACTGATCTTTTTTGATCATTTTAAATATTTAAAACTTGCAGAGCTGTCATTTCTGAAATGTGGATCATGATTTTCACAAATGGAAAAAAAAAAAACCCTTAAAAAATTAAAGGACTTTTTAAATAACCAAATCCAGGGGCTGGGGGTGGGAGAAAGGAAAAGCTTTGAAGTCTCTGAGATCTTTTCCCTGAGGGTCAGAAGTTTCTAATGATGTAACACACAATACAGACCAAGCCTTCACTTATCAAGGTTAAAGTTGACGGAGCTTGTATGAACTTGTCAATCATAGGAAGCAAGCAAAAACAAGCCAGCTGTTGTGAGGCATGGCTTTGAAAATCCTCTGTGTTACAGTAAATGAGACACAGAGGTTGAGACAGATTCAGTTCTGCAAGGCTTTCAAACTGGCTGGCATATTTGTAAGGATGCAAGGCTCATATATCTAGTGAATATGGGTAAACAGCTGTAAATCCTGGTAAGATTGTCTTGTCTTTCTTGTTAAAGCGTGAGAGAAACAGAGGCACGTGCCTTAATTACCTTTTTCTGTCAGCTCTGAACAGAAATTTGCAGTATTAATTCATACAGCATTTCTTTTGTTCTCCAGGTCTTTTGAGTACAGGCTGTGTCTTCTGTCCCTATCAGCAGAAGCTACAGTTGCAAAGAAAGAACGATGCAATACTTGGTACAGAATTCTATTTTGCTTAGCGTAATCGACTGCTCTATTCACTGATGGGCTGGGAGAACAGGGGGAAAACGTGTGTTAATTCCAGCTAAGATGCTGTGTGTGCCTAAGCTTGCACACACACGCTGTTTTTAGTGGGTTTTGTTTTCACAGTTGGCATTATGCATGCTGGAATAAGGCGGCAGTGCCTTTCAAAAATACTTGTTTTCTGGAGCGAGGGCTGCAGTGCCGTTGTTGTTGTGGCTCGGGGTGCCAGGCTCAGGGTTCCTCTGGGCTAGGGGTGGTGCGAGAGCTTTTCATCTTGTTATTTTCCTGGCAAGCCTGGGAGTGCAGGCTCACACGGAGACCTTTACAACGGCAGCAGGAGATATTAGCTGGGAGTGTAAGAGAATTGGATGTGACTATTGGAAGCAAGCGGTGAGTGTGGCTCTGGGTGAAAAGATGGCTATTTAAATGTGTGCACATGCATGCTAATTAATTTAAATAACTGGTTTAGGACCTTTTTTTCTTTTCCTTTAGAGATGAGCTACATGTTCATTTTGGTGCCTGCCTGAGAAACCCAGGTGACCTAGCTATTATTCACAAAGTGTTTCATTTTATAGCTTCTGTTGTGTTACGAATTTGTTTAGCTGCAAGCAGCTGGTTTCAGTAGTAATAGCAACAAGAAAATAGCAATAGCATAAAAGAAAAAAAAGGTGTAGATGTAAAAAAAATAAATCAAAGGAGTGGCAACTGGAATGTAGGGGATTTTTTTAGTGCATTGACAAAACAATCATTTTTCTTTGAGCTTTTTAAAATGTGACTGTGATTTCCTTGTTAGCAGTGTTGGAAAGTATTGTCTTTTGTCTCTGCAGTGGTTGCCATTTGTGTAATATGATGGCTTGTTATACTGCTGGGATATTCTGAGGATTGAATTCAGTGTATAAGTACTGAACACATTAACTGGTTGACTTCAGTGAGCAAAAGTCGTTTTAATTCCATGCTGGCAATCAGTCCCCTGTGTTCTAGAACAGGCATGTCGTAGATAAAGCAAGAAAGAATACAGGCAGAAAAATTGCCTTTTATCATTGATTTTTTGATGTGCAGCAAAATGGAGGAGGGGCTTTTATTTTCTGAACTAAGGAAAGAAAAACATCCCTTCCTCTGCCTTTTCCCACAAGATTCTCCCCTTCTGCATAAAGGACCCTATGCTGTTACAAGAAATTTAATTTTAATCAGATTTGATTTTTACTGTGGGCCTATGCATTGTGCTGTTACCCTTGACTGATTGGCCTACATTTCATCCATCAGCATGTCTTTGCTGCAGAATTAGAGTGGGTCAGTTGAATTTATTTCTGATGTTTATGGGGAGGAAGGTAACATTTTTAGAAAGAGGAAGACTTTTTTTTTAAACCCCATTGCTGCGTATTTTGCCATGCAATCAGGACAGGAGAGATTCTGGTGGGATCAATGGACTCCCAAGTAGTGTATGTTATCATATATGTGATAAAGCCAGGTGATAATGCAAGGGTTGTTAAGCTAAAGTGACATTTTGCTATGAGTGCAACAACTAAGCTGTATTTATTGTGATTCATTAAACAGATAGCTGCCATCAAGGCACAGATAATTTTAAGAGGCATTCAGAGACAGAATTGGAAAACCAAGACTTGCATCATGATGAATGGGTTGTAGTGTAACCTTGATGTGCCATGGGGTATACTTCACAAAATACCTTGCTGGATTTGTACCTTTGGTTGTATTCTGAAGTGTATCAGTGAATCTTTTTGGTTTTGGTTTTTTTTTTTTTTTAGAGAGAGAGGAAGAGCATTCTCTCATCATTCAGCATTCATTATTGTTTTCATCCTGACACATGCTTTGGTATTAGGACTATTTGCTTAATTTCAGTAGGGCGTCTGGGATACTAGTTGCCATTATCTGTCATTTCAGATCAAGTCAGGGAACAGCCCTACTTCTTTGTAGTGATTTATGTGCTGTGCCTCTTCCTTGAGTAACCATTACAGTACAGCCATCATGATGATTAAGTGATCTGAGTTTTTTGAGGATCCTTTGTTCTACACTTTTGTCTTTAAAGATTTCGGAGTGGCTTTGTAGTCCAAGTTTTCATTTGGTATCTTTGGAATATGCTTCATGTGTCACTGTGTGGTGGATAGTGTGTGCTGTGCTGATTTAGTAGTGATATGGTGCTCATCGGAAAAATGGACCACTATTAATATAATTGCACTCGGATGGCCACACTGTGGTATTCTGGTGTCGGTGTCTCCTTGGCATTGCAATAGGAAGACCAATTTGAGGGTTTCAGAACATTTGAGGTGCTGGAGCCTCTGAAAGAAAAGGCATAACGGGGCTCAGGTGAGGATTCAGACACATGCAGACATCTTACATCAGGTGACTGAAGTGCTGGCTGAAGTTATAATCCATAGAGATCTTGGACTCGATCCAGTTGGCTAGATAAAAGTGCCTAGTGAGACCTGAGACATCCCAGCGTATCCCACTTGGCTTCCAGCGGCCACCTTTTAGGGGAACTGATGCTTTTGGATCTTTAAAGATTTCAAAATGGTAGAACACACCCATGTCTGGGAAACTAAATCGATCGTGTAGACAGTGAAACCAATGTATGATTTGCTTGTAGAGACTAATTTTGAGTGAGCTGAATCTGTTAGATTACACTGACAGTATCAACATGGATTAAAATGTGTATTAGAACTCGAACTTTTTCCTAAATTTTGAACAGTTCTGCCCTGTGCATCCCATTCCACCTCTGTAGCATCCTGTTGTGGTCTCAAGCAGAACCGTGCTGGTTAGAAGGAACTACTCTACTTGCAGACTGTTGAAGAGGTGCTTTTGGATCCCACTGTGCCAAGTGCCAGGCAGATACACAATGAAAACATAGATTCAGCACATAAAGTTCACAACTGAAAATGTAGTGTATCAGCAAGGGCCCTGGCTATATAGTTTTGGCATAAGAAAAGACAGTGTTTCATGATTGCTTTAAGCTACAAAATTGCCTGTTTTGAGCCACGTCAGTTCTTTGATCCGATTTTGGGGCTGTACAATTCCCACTGCTAATACAGTGGAAAGAGCAGGAAGACAAAATAAGAGTGGGCTAAGAAGGAGACTGCCTCTGGCAAAATATCTGCATTCAGATCAGTTTAAAGGGGCTACAAAACTGTGGCCTTGAATATGAGAAGTTTGCTGTTGTTGAAAGGTGAGGACTTTTATGGAGGAGTTTTACTCAGGTATGAAGGCCTTTTTCCAGTGTAGATTGTACTGTTTGAGAAGGAACTTAACTTAAATCAAAGCCAGGCGCCCCATTTGCTCTCTTCTGCAAGTAAGTGCAGGGCATGTTGTTGCTTACATAATCATGCTTAAGTTTTATGGTGAAACTTTTGCACAGGGGTCAGGTTTTAAAAAAATGATATATTTTTCAAATGTTGGCTAATACATTTTTGCAATGCTTATGTAGTCTGGGATTTTAAAGTTGGATTGTCCTGTGGCTCTGTTTGTCTTGGCCTGAAGTGTTCTCAAGAAACTATAAATCAGACAGATAAAAATCAGAAACATTGAGTTGATCAAAGTGACTTCCGTTTATTGAGATATGACATTCAATCAGATCATTCTACTTCTCCGTCCGCCTTTAACCAGATCCTGAGTATGGGGCAAATGAAGGCAGTGTTTTGGTGGTGTTTTTTATGGCAACCAAAAATGTTACCCTTCTGATAGGGTACATAATGATTCATTTTCGTAATTGCTCACTGACTCCAGTGGCAGGCTCCTGTTAACGTGTGTATGCGTATATATAGCTCTCCATGGCTTAACTTGCATGTAATAGCTTATGTTACTGATACCCGTCTCAGGTTTGTTAGAGTAGCTGTTGATTTATTGCTGGAGGGACCTGGGAGTGTCCAGACTGGGGAGGAGACTTGGTTGATTTCCCCAGCTTAGTGTTACTTGGCCTTTACATTTCAGTCCTGAGCGTGTATGCCACAAACTAAGAGAGCCAGAAGGAAACTGAGAGATGGCGTGTATGCCACAAGCTAAGAGAGCCAGAAGGAAACTGAGAGATGTACTTCTCCATCTGGTTAGGAAATACTTGTTACGCATTTCCACCTCTATGGTGGTAAGTGGTGGTGGTAGTTTTGGTGGCTATGGCCCATTATGTGGTATGTGAAAGCCACAGAGCAGAGCTCCTGTTGAGCTCACCTAACTGACAAGTTGTGCAGCCTCTTATCTCTCCACATAGACCTCCTCTGGAAAACCTGAGTTCAGTGGAGGACTGGTTTTCGTGATTAAGCAATTCCTTCTTTTCAGTTAGAAGCAATTATGGGTTTCTGCCTCCCACCATATAGATATGAAGGCTGCTATACCCAAATACCAAAAGCAGGCATAGTAGAAGAAGCATGTTAGCCTCCTCTAATAGACTCATTCTTGCTGAATACCGCTTTGTATCAACAGCATAAGTCTGTTGATGACACTTCCTTTGCAGTTCATGTTAAGTGAGTGGTCTGAGAGTCAAAGCTGTCAAGCCATCACATGGCAGGGATGGGGAATGTGGTGTGAGCTTTCTTGATTCTGTTCCATCAGGAAGGCTCTTGTGTTTGGACGTTTGTGGCATTGTATCGTGGGGGTAGTGGGGGGAGCTTTGAGTTTGAGAATAACTTAGAATTTAATGGTTTTGATGATGACTGATTTGTTATCTAGAATAAAAGTGGTAGTTAAGTGAATTATCATGTTTTCAGGTTATTTTTAAATGCTCTGTCTCACTTTGCAATGTTTGATTATAAATCATGAGTTCTTTTCAGTCATATGTTATCCTTACATAATGCTATGGGCCTCATTTCTGAAACAGCTGTATACTGGGCATATCACTGCATGAAGCACCAACAGATTTAAAGTAGCTTGGTGGACTTCTTGGTATTCATAATAATGTAACACCTTTGCAGGTTCTTGCCACTGTGTTCCCCTGGGGCTTGAAGCTTGCTTTCTTTTCATCCTTTCTGAACAGTAAGCTCAAATCTCGCCAAAATAATATAATAAGCATGTCTTGCATGAGGACCCACTCACACTGAATGCAAACTAGCCTCAGTGTTGAATGCCTCAGACCCATTTTCTGTAGCACTGCAAAATGTTTGATTAATTTTGTGGAAGCTGTATGAAGGCACGTATGTAATCTCAGAATTTCATCTCCACGTTTGCAAATGTAGCATCTCTAAATTTCTCTGTGCTATAGTTCTTTATTTCCTTTTACTCTGTTTTGGAAGGGGACAGGACTACTAAAGCTTTTATTGGTTCTGAGCCAGGGTAATATTAGATACATTTGATTACATGCTTTGGATATGTAAACATGTCAGATTGGTGGTATCCTCTGTCCTGTTTGCTTCCAGCAGCACACCCATTCCTGATGTGCCTGCAAAGTTCAGTGTATACTTTGCAAATGGGCTGAGGTAATGCATGTAATTTACGTCTTTATGACATTTTGTACCATGCCCTTGATTCACCCATGCACCTAAGTGCAGCTATTACACTGTCTTACGTTGTGGCTTATGTATGTGAAGAATAGAGAGGCCCAAATTGTTTTTTGGCACAGGTTAACTAGGGGTCACTAACTCTACATGGGTTATCTGGACAGTCAAAAATGTTGATTTAAACACAGTATTTCAAACTTAAGGCCTGCAGTCTTCATTTGGTAAACATTTCCATTAAAAGTAGTGGAACTATTTACAGGCCTGGTTCTGCTTACATTGGATTCACTGGGGAAAACCAGCTGACTCTACAGATGCCATGTAACCAGATCTAAGTAGCGTTGGTCTTTCTGGCCTAAATCATTTTACTTAACAAAACTTGTCCTTTGTCTACTGTTAAAATAGGAGTCAATAAATACTGTTTTGTAAAACAGAATTGACATTGAATTTGTCAGATGACTTGGAGTTGAATGAACTGACTGCTATTAGTTAAGAGCACTATGAAGAGATCCGAGTTTAAATAATACTCAGATTTTCATTCATTCTAAATCCAAAATTACCCATTGAAATTTAATTTTAAAAATTAACACTTCACAGGAGAGAGAGATACTTGTGTATGTGACTGTTCAGGAATCAAACTGGGAAAAAGCCATCTCGGAAGTACAATACTATTTTATTTCTGACGTGTAAAAATCAGTGTGAAGTGCAGTTATTAAAATTTCTATACATCAGGCAGTTTAGTGACAATGCCAAGATTTTTTTAGAACTTCTTTCTGTAAGTGCTGAAGCATTACAGATCCAAGGACTGAAAAATAATAATTTTGAGAGTAATTTGATTGTACAGGTGTGGAAGTAGAATCTACATCTAATCAGTTATCTTCCCACAATACTTTATCTTAAGGATCTGTTTTAATTTAATTAACTATTGCAGTTAATTAAATAGTAAATATAGTGTAATGCAGTGTAATTGCTCCGATTTTTTTCCTTCTTGAATTTATAATGGACTTTAACCCATTATTTATTTTATGTGCTGTATCTCAGATTTCATTTTCATACACATTGATTTTAACCACCTGTGGACCTATTCTCCAAACTGCTGCAGTAATGTTAATAACCTGTTTAGGCTGAAAATTCAAGTTAGCCATGCTTTACAAATAGGCTGGGAAAGATGCCCATTTCAGTCCCCACAAAAGAAAGCTGTGCATGTCTGCAGGGTTAGTATTTCACAATACAGAGACCAGCGCTGTCAGTAACATAAATTATATTATCAGCCCTCTGAAACCTTTTACTTTTCTGTTGCAGCTTCTTTTCTAAGTTCACAGTGTCTCTTCAGCTTCCTCTAAGCAGAGAACAAACCTGTCTCCTCTCAGGGCTCCAGAGGTACTTTCTTTTTTCCCTGCCTTCTGTTTCTATCCCAATTTGTGTTTATCTGGCGAGCACAAATCAACTACCTGTGTTATGGCAAAGCCAAGCCTGGAGCTGCAAAAGCCTGTTTTCTGAGTAGAGAAATAGAGAATGTAAAATTGGAATAAGCCCAAAAAATATTTCTGTTTAAGATAAGGCCTTTCTGACCATTGTTTGTCATTTGTCTGACAGGGCAAAAGAAGTTCAAGTTTAAAATAAGCTTGACTGGAAAATCCTTTCTGAATTTCCTTTTCTGCAGTTTTTCTGAAGATATTAATTTTTCCTCTGTTTTTTTTTTTTTTTTTAGCTTCAGCAAACATTTCCTTTGCACTCATTTCATTTTTTGCCAGTTATGCAAGAATTCAACCTCCGGATTCATAAAGTTCACCATACTCAATTCACATTTAAAATGACACTGAAGTATTAATTATGCACATAGAGAAGAAATTTCTTTTCCACACTTGGTTACTACCTCTGAAGCGAAAAGAGAATTAAATTTGAGTGTTAGAATTCCTCTTATCAAGACCATTTCTACCAATATTTGCATGTTTGACAGTGTCATGCATATCAGGGCTGGAGGTGTGCTGTGCATTTAACTATGCGCTCCATACCTTAATTTAGCCTGATTTTATGGTTTGACTCATCGCATTAGATTAGGTATGCTGTGTGTGCCCATACGTGAGAGAATTTTTTGTGCCATACACTTACTGTAGATCAGAGGAGTTCATGTTAAATGTTCTATGTGATCTTGGTGTTCAAGCTTCCTGGATTGGTGCAGTGGCCTGCACCGAAGGAAATAAATCAGCACACTAATGACATGTTCTTCTCTCTAGGCAAGCTGACACAGGGCCTGTGAGGGAAAACCCACGGGAGAAGAGGGATCAGCTGGACCAGAATTTAGGCTACAAGTGGAAGGCATCTGTCAGACCTCTGCATGCGCAAGAGCCTGCAGTTCTGCCTCACGAGAGTCGGGGGAGGTCTGGGACGTTGCCTAGTGATTACCGATACTCTCAGGAAAACGTGAATGAGAAGAGCAAGGATCATAGTCTGCCTCATCTCCCCTGCTCTGAGCCACAGACCTTGAATGAGAACCACTCCTCTCTGTCCCGGGACAGAGGAGACGAAAGCCATAGTGTAGAGCCAGTGCTGCTGAACAAGAAGCGTGGACCTGCTCCTCAGAGACCACCACCACCTAAAATAGATAAATACAGGCGACCAGATAATCCTGCACTGTCACTCGGCACATCTTCTGAATCTCTGCGGGCAGTGCCCAGCCAGCCCTTTGCATCCTCGTCCCCCAGCTCTGCCGAAGTATTTGCCAGTCACTCCTCTCTCTGTCAGAGTCCCGCAACTTTCAATGGAAAATTGAAGAGTGCTAATCCACAGCAGCTCTGGCAAGCATCATCCACAGAGAATGTTTGTCAGCACTTAGAAGAAAAAACGCACCTTAGGTCTGAGTCTGTATTATCTTCCAAGTATCAGTATCTTCAAAAACCTGGCATGGAGACATCAAGGTCCCCTTCTCCTCAGTTTGCACCACAGAAGCTCACTGATAAACCTCCTGTGTCTCTACAGGATGAGAACCCAGCCAGGTACTAGATGTAACTTCTTTACTAATCTATTAACACTTTTTGCCCAATTAGATCTTATTAATGGCTGACTGTTAATTTTCTTTACTAAAAGCACATCCTTTGCGTTCATTAAGCATGAGCCATGACAGCATGTCATAGAGACCTAAGACTTGTGTGAAATTCCAGTTGGTACCATTGAAGTCCTTCAACTGGTCTGTGGTTTCTTTTAGTTGACTGATGCTGCTCAGGTGTTAACAGCTAGTAGTTAGAAGAAAATGAAAGGGATGGATTCAAATGGATTTTCCTCTAGAAGTCTGGGTGAAATCAGAAGATTCTCTGTCATCATTTCCTCCACCCAAGCCTATATATGAGTATGAATTGTTGCAGGGACAAAGCAGGTGTGAGAAGGGAAGCTGTATGTGCTTCGTGAGAGCATCTGTTTTGAAGTGCACGCAGTAAGGTGCACTGCCAAATCATGACTGTTTTCATGGTGCCTTTACAATTAAATGTGGCACTCCAGGTAGTCTGCTGGGGGTCCACAGCACTGTTTGTGTTGAGATGGGCTGAAGATTCAGCAGGAGAAACTGAGTCCTTTCCCAGTGTAGATAAACTTAGAATTAGGCAAACCGACTGAAATTGATTTCTGTGTCTGTCATAATGCTGCTAATATACTATATCATATCATTATTCTCCCGTAAGATAGCAAACTCTTCCAGGAAGCTCAGGAATCTTAATTTTCATAAATCTTCTGGCACAATAATTCATAGTTAAAGAATGAAAATAAAACCTCCAAGCTGAATGAGCGCAGAGGTTGTTTCTCTGGGCAAGAGTAGCTAGAAACTTTTTTCTACAGTAATGTAAATAGTTTGAATAGACTCAATCATGCTGTTTCCCAGTGTGCCTTATGACATAGAAAACATGAATTACTTTTTTTTCCTAAACAGGCCATGGCAGGAGTGTTTGAACTAGATGATCTTAAGGTCCTTTCCAACCCAAACCATTCTATGACGCTATGATTCTATGTTTTTCCTCTTGTAACCAGAGGAGAAACATGACATTTCATCCTGCAGTGTTTTTAACATGAAGGAATAATACACTTTACTATGAAAAGTGCTACTTGTCATGTGAACCCTAGCATCTCTGTGCAAAGGTAGATGACAGTAATGACTTCCTTAATGTATTGCTTTATGAATAGATGCTAAGGTTGCATAGAAGGCTATTTGTATTTCTCCTTCCTTTTTACTAGGCTTTAATGTTGGAGTGAACACTATGGTGTTCCTAATTATATGCCAGTATCTGAATGATAACATATCTGAATGATACAGTTACCCTCCAAATTTAAAATTCTTAAGCCCAGATAGCTCTTGCTTGTGCACAAGGTATTGTCCTCAGCTAATAATTACATTACTCAGTAGAACAGGTAAGGCAAAAATGGAGAGACATGTGGGCCATACCGCTGAACCTTCTATATGGTATTTATTTCATATGATAGAAATATGTCCAGTAGACTTACCTTAACATGCAGTTAATTAGATTTGGCTTATTGCTTCTATTGACTCCTTGCATGTGAGCTTTTGGACATGCCAGTTTACATGCTGTGGGCAGCTAATGTTTGATGATGTCAGCATGTAGCTATTTACTTTTCTTTATGAAGGTGTCTGGTTCATCAGCAGGATAAAGTGAGTGAGTAGGAAGGGTTTTCTGCAGCGTTTTAAGTAGAATAATGCAGCATAAGGAAATACTAGTGGTGCGCAGAACCCAGCTATTTCCCAAGATGACTGTTTAGCAGTAATAAAAGAGTGCATCAGTAGACGTGCATCAATAGATTTGCAGTAAACCTACAGTCAGGTGAAGGAGTGACTGTGCGTGTGGTTGAAGTAAAGCTTTGTAGTGGCAACAAGCAGAACTGCCGCAAGTCAAAATTTCATGCCACAGTTCCACAAGTGGAAAACCTTCAGAAATCTGAAGGGTAGCAACTGTAGAAACAGGATTTCTGAAGCAGCTGGTGTTGAACTGTCTTTGCTCTGACTGCAGTCAGTTGACTTGATGATGCCTTAAGTATCTGGAAAATCTTTTACTATGCTGAAAGGAATGTACTCGCATTTCAAACCAGATGCCAGGCATTTTAGGTAAAAAATTATGCTCAGCTCATTTCTTCACTTCCAGTTGCCCCCTACAGACTTAGTATGCATGCATTTCCCTCAAATTCAAAAATGTGTTCCTCCATAGAGTCTGATGGAGTCCAAAAGGTGTGGGCTGTACTTAAAAACAAGGTGTGGAATGTACTTAAAAACAAGCAAGAGAAAGGGTCAGGGCATAGGCAGCAGGCAGGAGGAGAGCCCATGTCTGCAGGCAGGGAGCTGGGGCTGAGCAGTAGACACAGGAGCGAGCTCTTTAAAATGCCAGATGCCTTGACTGAAAACACCCAACCAAATGGGAGTGGTGGCATTCAGCATGGGCTGGAAAACCTGCCCCAAAAGTTGGAGCAGTATCAAAGCATGTCTGCAAAGCACTGGTGGAAAGTAAATACCTATTGGGAGGTTGCACATTTATTTGCAAGCAAATGTATCTTTAAACGTAAGATACAACTCCTGAAAAATATGAAGTCAAACAGATTTTGCTATTCCCAATAAAAGAAAAAAACAGCGCAATAAACTGTAAGTTTAAGTAAAGTGACACACCCACGCTTAGAGGAAAAGGGCCAGGAGGGTATGTCTTGGTCACTTATCTGAACAGCAACAAGCTACACAGCCAGATGGAACCAGATACTTTAGCTAGTAGGCAGTGTTCATTCACTTGCTGTGGAGTTTCCAAACCCGCAGTATGACAATAATTTTAAACTTTCTGCAAACTCAGAACCACCAAACCAGACTTTAGTTTATTACATGGTTTACGTGCAGTGCAGATGTTTCAGTAATGTTAACATGTTACTGTCCAATTTAAAAATCTAAGTTATCTTCCTCTTTAAATAGCTTTCCTGACTGTATGTCCAAGTTGGACCTTTGTGCTATGCAGTACAGTATTTGTGCTATAAGGTTTCCATAAAAGGAGTATCCACAATTGTGTGTTACACTCTTCAGAGGCTGTTTTTAGTTCTTTAAGTAGAAAACCAGGACACTGTGGTGGGATCTATTAAACTGCTGTATCTTGTGTGCAATTTTACAAATACAGATTTAGGGGGGGGGGAGGGGGTTAATCATATAATTAAGTTTTGAATTATTTCCAGATTTTCCATGAGTGATTTACTTGCTATTCTTGTAGCTCAGCAAAGGCCCTAGCCTGCAGGATGCTTCTATCTGTTCTGTTGTCACTTTCCTTGGAAGACTTGGGAATTAAAGTGAGAGCATCACAAACTCCCCAGGCAACTAAGCTGCCTGTTAGGCCAAAAGCAGAAGCCATTGTTG